AAATGGAAGGAAAAGGAAGAGGGGCCAACCAAGAGCAAGATGGATGGATGGTATCCTTCAAGTGACTGGCTTGACTTTGAAGGAGCTGGGGGTGGTGACTGCTGACAGGAAGCTCTGGCGTGGGCTGGTCCATGAGGTCATGAAGAGTTGGAAGCGATTGAATGAATAAACAAGAAATGGTAGGCATGGGCAATCCATGATTCTAAATGGTTCTAAGGTATTTAGAAAACTAGAGCGCGCTGGTGCTTTGCTTCTACAGTGTTGCTAATATTCTGGTGGTGAAAATTTCAGAACTCTTAACAAAACCTTCAAAAATTTCATTATAAATGGCAGTTCCTAATTGGTTCGATCATAAAAATCACCAATAACAAAATAATAATGACATTTTGAAAGTTTTGTTAGAGTTCTGAAATGTTCGTCACCAGAACTTTAGCAATACTGTAGAAGCAAAGCACCAGTGCCCTCTAGTTTCTAAGTACTTTAGAACCATTTAGAACAGGGGTCCTCAAACTAAGGCCCGGGGACTGGATGCGGCCCTCCAAGGTCATTTACCCGGCTCTCGCTCTGTGTCAACCTAAGTATGAAACTACTTGAAGGCACACAATAACAACAACAATCCTATCTCATTAGCCAAAAGCAGGCCCACACTTTCCATTGAAATACTAATATTTTTTAAAATTGTTCTTAATTTTAATTATTGCATTGTTTGTAAATGTTTTTTGCACTACAAATAAGATATTTGCAGTGTGCATAGGAATTCATTCATGTTTTTTTCGAATTATAACCCGGCCCGCCAACAGTTTGAGGGACTGTGACCTGGCCCTCTGTTTAAAAAGTTTGTGGACTCCTGATATAGAACAATGGCTTGCCACTTAGAATTAAATTTGCATTTAGAGAAGTAAACTGAGGACAATGGAGGAATGTAGGGAAGGAGAGAAAACTGGCACATTTTAAAAGCAACTGAAACTGTGGAATAATAGTGGCTAAATTGGGTCTGTCCCTACAAATCAAGATATTGTGTGCGAGACCTTCTCTTATATCTATCCTTTCTACAGGCATGTCTTGCTGGGAAACGAGATTAAGGCCTTCTCAACTGCTGCCCTTTAAACTATGAAGCTTCCTTGTAGGGATGCTCAAATGATCCCCTTCTTGCTGTTCTTCCATGAGAGAGCAAAGGCTTTGGGGGACTTGATGTTGTCTTATTTTTAATTGCATTATATTTAAAGCACTTCCTGTTTTTAATTGTATGTTTTGAATTATTTGTATTGTTATTGTTAAACCTTTTTGTGTTAGATTTTCATTTCAGTCTTTATTCTGGAGGTGGGAAATGAGATATAAATGATGACAATGACAACAGTATGGATCATGTTCCTAGACAATAGTCCACTCTATATATTTTGCACAACTTTTAGTTCTTGAACTTGATAAAGGCAGCCTCACACCTAAATGAAAAATAATGTAAATCAGGGGTTTTCAAACTACGGCCCGGGGGCCGAATATGGCCCTCCAAGGTCATTTATCCAGCCCTCGCTCAGGGTCAACCTAAGTCTGAAACAACTTGAAAGCACACAACAACAACAACAACAATTCTATCTCATCAGCCAAAAGCAGGCCCACACTTCCCAATGAAATACTAATACTCAGTTCTTGTGGGTTTTTTCGGGCTATATGGCCATGTTCTAGAGGCATTTCTCCTGACGTTTCGCCTGCATCTATGGCAAGCTTCCTCAGAGGTGAGGTCTGCCATAGGAAGCTTGCCATAGATGCAGGCGAAACGTCAGGAGAAATGCCTCTAGAACATGGCCATATAGCCCGAAAAAACCCACAAGAACTGAGTGATTCCGGCCATGAAAGCCTTCGACAATACATTGAAATACTAATAAGTTTATATCTGTTAAAATTGTTGTTCACTTTCATTATTGTATTGTTCTAAAGTGTTTTTTGCACTACAAATATGATACGTGCACTGTGCATAGGAATTCATTCATTTTTTTTCAAATTATAATCCGGTCCTTCAACAGTTTGAGGGACGATGACCTGGCCCTCTGTTTAAAAAGTTTGTGGACCCCTGATGTAAATGATGTATCACTGCAATCACATCCAACATCCCTGGAAAGATTTGCAACTAGCATACAGGTTGAAACGGGGCACAGATATTCTTGTTCACAGTAGCCATCTGATCCTTCAAGTGTAATGTTAAACCCATGAGTACCTGAAACTATACCTGGATCCTTTATGAGAGCGCAGTCCCAACCTGAACAGGTTCACAAATATCAAGATGACTCTGTTTTGTCTATGAAACAATATAGCGGCTGTCTTGTATGGACAAAGCTTTCATTTGTTTGCTTACTGCATCAAAGACAACAGTTCAGGGCTTCTGTAGCCTCCTCGATCCATTGAAAGAGAGAAGTATGGCTGGGTGTTATTAGCATCACAGCAAATCTCAGAGACATCCTAGCAACATTGTGAAGTTGCTGAAGTTCATGGTTGACAATATAGAATCAAGATAGTCATGGAAGTTTTTATACAAACACCATATGCATACTTTGTGCATTTTCAAAAAGGGATATCTTGGCTTAGTAGTGCAGGTGTTTGGGATACTAATGAGAGCAAACATGTTGATTTACATCACAATTTTATTGAACACACTCAAAAAATAATGTAAGAAGCAGCCAAAGAATTGTTTCAAGTACTTCCTTTTTCAAATCCAGGCAAGCAGAAGGGGAATTTTTAACTACACAGAAAGGATGTCCCGACCCTTGACTTCACATACATGAGAATATTGTGCAAGACAGTTGCTTATTTGCTAAATATATATATAATTGGAACTATTCTTCTTAATGCAGCTAGATGCTTCCAAAGAGTTTTATTTTATATTTTAAAATAACACCAGTACAGTTTATTCATTTTCTTTTTTGAACAATAATTAAAGACAAGCACTATTATTAGCATTTAAAAAACCTCTTGATGCTTAAAATATCGTCTTTGATCTACATTTTGTGACATTCCTCTTTTTTCTTTTAATCATCATTTGAAGGATCTGCTTTATTATCCTCTTCAGAGTTCTCATCTTTCAGCTGCTGGCGAGCAAAATCTTTAAACACCAGGTCACTACAAATACATACAAATGCCTTTAAAAATCACATGCTTCATGGGCTCCATGTAGTATTAATGCATCCTAACTGCCATGGCTCAATGTTGATATCTCACCAAACTACAACGCCATTTCAGTTAAAGTGGTGTCAAACTGCATTAATTTCACAATGTTAATGGACCCATGGTAGTTAGGAGTTATCTCCTCCAAATATATAATTTCACACATCACTAAAACTTGCATTATAGTAATAACAATAATAATAATATAATACTTTATTTCTAGACCGCCCCTCTCCCCATAGGGACTTCGGGTGGTTTCTATACATATAAAACAGGGAAACATTCAATGCTGTGCTTAAAATCGCACAACAGTTGAAAATAAAAATTAAACATAATAAGAAATACAAATACTTAAATAAAACATACTTACACTAATAAAACATAATTGCACAAAAACATGTATCCTAAAACAGAAACTGCTAGAAGTGCTTAACATTAATTGTAATATAAATTGCATGAGACATTAACTCAATAGGGGTTTGCTGTGCCTCTTATTAGTACTGTGCATAAGTGATAACTGCCAGGTGTCCAGGCTTAAGTATGTGCACTAGTGTGACCATAGGAAGCATGGATTTTTGAATGCTAATTTTAGTACTTTTAATTCAGCTAAATGATGGGAACTTTATGGAGGATCTACTATGCAGAATCAAGCTATTCATTACTTTGTTTTAACTCATTCTGAGAATATTCAAAGATATTATTCCTACCTCTACACCAGTGTCAGGTTGGTGGTTGAATTCAAATTTCAAACTGTTTATTTTATTTATTTATTTACTTCATTTGTTGACCGCCGCTCTCAGCCCTAGGGCGACTCGTTGTGGGAGAAGTTATATCCCACCCTACCTTTGTACACTTATGAGACTAAATAAACTCAGTGTTTGACCTTATGTATTTGTATGTCTAGTCTGAGCCTTTATTTCTTGTATCAGTCTTCATTCTTTGCTACTAAGAATAGTTTTAGTGAACCAGGGATGATATAGTAAATTAACTTTTTTCCTGAAAATGTGTATGATTGTTAATTTCCCGATAGTACTGCTGAACAGAAAAAGATTTGCTGTGTGTGCCTTTATTACAACCATATAAAATATTCGAGATTTGAGGTTTATTGGCTACAAATATAAACAAGTAGATTAATGAACATGATAACAAAGCAAAATTGTGCTTGGCTTCAACAAGTTTGTTTTCATTGTGTTTTAATGAGCCTGCACTGGGAATTTAAGACCAAATTGAGTTAAGCTCTTTTCATTAATTTCCTTTTTTAATCTTAAGGGACCTGAAGCAAAATATGATTATGGGAAAATTATGCAGGTGCATACCCCTAATCCCTGTTCTGACAAAATAGTCCCATCCCATTTATATTTACCAGTATGTAAGTCACACTAGTTTCTGTGTTTGACTCCTGGGTGATTGACTTTATAGATATGTACAACCCAGTAGAAGTTCACTGATTCCAGTATGTTGTATTATTGTACCTACTAAGTTCACTGGCTCCAATGTGCTTGATTAAGCAATTGACCAAGCTATTAGACTATGATATCGTACATGTTTACTTGGGAATATATCCCACTTAACTCTTCCACTTTTGGATGCCTTTTGAGTCATGATCTGTGATCTGAATGTAACCGAGAAACAGCATCAATCTCACCACCTGCATTTTGTAGCATAGAAAAGCTTATTTATCAACAAAGCTATTGTTATTTCATAAAGAATCCATAGCAGAATATAGGCAGAAGGCTGGTGGAAGAATTCTTACCTTTCCTTTCCTGCAATAATAGGCATATAATGAAAAAAAAAAGGCAGAAATTTAGATGATAATATTTCAGAACAAATAATTTTGACCCTGAAGATAGGAGTGTCATCTGTGAAATAAGAAGAGGAAGAACTACTTGCTGAAGTAAGTAAAGGTAAATGTTTTCCCTGAAATTAAGTCTAGTTGTGTCCGACTCTGGGGGGTGATGCTCATCTCTATTTCTAGGCCGAAGAGCTGGCATTGTATGTAGACACCTCCAAGGTCATATGGCCAGCATGACTGCATAGAGTGCTGTTACCTTCCTGCAGAAGCAGTTTCTATTGATCTACTCACATTTGCATGTTTTTGAACTACTAAATTGGCAGAAGCTGAGGCTAACAGCAGGAGCTCACCCCACTCCCCGGATTCGAACCGTCAACCTTTCAGTCAACAAGTTCAGCAGCTCAGCGGTTTAACCTGCTCTGCTACCAGAGGGGTCTATCTGCTGAAGTAGGTGAGCAATATTACAGTACACCTTTTAATTGTGAGTCTGGTCAGGAAAGAAACCGCTATTTGGACCACCAAATCCAAGTGGGAGACAAAATAAGGAAGTAAGAAGCAATGCATTAAAACTTCATCATCTTTTTAAATCCGGCGTTTGTACATAATACATCAAAAGTTAATATGATTTGATTACTCAGATTATGTACATACCATGATGATGGAGGCTGCTTGCAGCTTCCCTTTAGTCTAGAAGCGTGTTTGAATAAAGTGGTTAGAGGAAACAGAATTGTGGTTTAGAGAATAGTTCTATGTTCCCTTCAAGTATTTTAGCACAATTGGAAACATGACACCACTTTGATTTCTTTATTCTTTGTTAATAGATACCTTACAATTAACCATAAGTAGGGTCCTCTACTTTGCCTTTAAAAGCGGTCTAATACCTATTAAGCAAGTATGTTTTCCCCATTTTCCTTTCACTCCATGCCAGAAAAGAGAAACCCGATCAATATCTGTATATCATGCTACTGGCTGCAAGAACAAGGCAAGTCAGATCCTCTATACAAACTTTATAAACTTTATTAATCACATGTAGACCCATTTGTCACATGACCACTTTAGTGAATGCACACCTGAAACACAAAGAAGAACTATATGCTCTTCCAGTACACTAAGTATTCAAATCATTCTAGAGATACAAAGCACAAGTTAAAATATATCAAAAGTCAAACTCTGAGCTGGAAATCATAGAAGTTTCATACATTGATTTGGAAGCCATGTTCTTTATTCGCATGTACAATATGTTAATGGCAACATCTGGTTAGGAAGGAAATGCTCAGGGGTGCTCTGTAGACATTGGGAGATTGCAAGCATTGGGAAGACATTCTGCAGTTGGGCTAATAGGATAGGCTCAGCCCTAGTACCTATGAAAGTCTATCCTAAATTCAGATGGGTGGGAGCCAGGGCATATCCAGACTGAGCGAAATGTTCCAGATTTTGTTCCTAGAATTTTGTCTGATTCTGGACTGAATTAACACAAATTGACCTATATTGTTGAAGGCTTTCATGGCTGGAATCACTGGGTTGTTGGTTTTTCGGGCTGTATGGCCATGTTCTAGAAGCATTCTCACCTGACGTTTCGCCTGCATCTGTGGCAAGCATCCTTAGAAGTTGTGTGGTCTGTTGGAAACTAGGAAAATTGGGTTTATGTATCTGTGGAAAGTCCAGGGTGGGAGAAAGAACCCTTGTCTGTTGGAGGTAGGTATCAATGTTTCAACTGGCCACCTTGATTAGCATTTGATGGCCTGGCAGTTTTTAGGTGTGGCTTATTACTGCCTGGGAGAATCCTTTGCTGAGAGGTGATTAGATGTTCCTGATTGTTTCTTGTCTGGAGTTCCCCTGTGAGCTTTAATGGTGCTTCTTTTTTGACTTGGGCGATGATTGGATATTTTTATGTAGGTATCTATCTGTGTGTGTAGGTTTTCTGTAGACTGTGTGACCGAACCGACCTGAGGAGCTAGTATTAAATATCCGAGTGTCCTGGAGCTGACAGAAAATATTTTGGAATTAAGAGACACTGCCTTACAATGGCTCCACTCCCTCCTGGAGAGAAAAAACCCTGAAGGTGACCTATTCCCTCAAGATTCTGTTTTGTCCCCTGCATTATTTAATATATACATAAAGCTGCTGGGATAAGTTGTCCAGAGTTTTGGGACGTAGTGCCATCAATATGTGGGTGATATCAAATACCTTCCCTCCTCAATCCAAGGAGGCTGAACTGATCCTAAATGAGTGTTTGTTATCCATAATGGACTGGAAGAAGGCAAACTGAAACTTAATTCAGACAAGACAGAGGTGTCTTGGTTAGTCCAAAGGTAGATAAGGAAGTAAGGATTCAGCCTGTGCTAGATGGGGCTACTCTTCCCTTGAAAGCACAGGTTTGAGAGCGCTACTGGACTCAGATTTGAACTTGGAAGCTCCAGTTTTCTGTGTTGGCCAGGTCTGCTATTTAAAGCTTGTGCACCAATTATGTCTTTGCCTTGAAACCTCAGATCTGATCATGATGGTAAATGCATTGGTTTACATCCTATTTGGATCACTGTTACATGCTCTACATGGGGCTGATTTTGAAGCATGGAAACTTCCTCTAGCACCAAGAGCTACATCCAGAGTGCTAACCAGGGTATGTTATAGGGACCTCTGCTCCTCTGTTAAAACAGTTTCATTGGCTGCCAGTGTATATTTAGACACAATTCAAAGTGCTGTTTATGATCTATAAAAACCCTATAAACTCAAATCATGGTTATCTTTTAGGCTGTGTCTTTTTATATAAGCCTGTCCATGCCTTGGAACTCACTTCCCAAGGAATTATCCCCCACAAATTCATCAGCCACAAATGCAGGCAAACATCAGGAAAAATGCTGCTAGAACATGGCCACACACCCCGGAAACTACACAACACTGTAGTAAGTATAGCGGATGTAGTCTGTCCTAGTATTGAAATCGACAAATGTTTAAAGTCCATTAGAAGGGAAGTTGATAATATAATTCACCACAATGGCTTAACAGCTGCCCAGGCATTCCAACAGTTCATGCGACCTGACAATAAGAATGCAAGTGACCCGTGTCCTCAGGCTATGCATAAAACTTGGAAGGAAGAGATAGCAATCTTTTCTTCTCCCTGCCCTGAGGTGAAAGTCAGAGGCAATGCAGGAGCATTTATGAAAGAAAAAAAAGACTTAGCCAGAGGGAGTTCAGCTCTCTTCAGTGCAATTGTGGTCAACATCAGATTTACAAATACATACAGATCAATCAACTCCACCAATGGGTCAGTATCAAAGATTTTTTTAAAGTAAAATTTGTTTTTTGTACTGTATTTCTTGTGTAATAGCAGCAGAGAAGTGAAGTCCAATGGCTGCATTCAAGCCGTAAAGCTGTTTCTGTGACCCTCAGGTGCTCTCCAAGGGAATGGTCTTTGAGGGATTTGCAGCCAATCTACCATTATTTTGGAAGGGAGGGAGCTGTTTTGGGTTCAGAAAAGCTTTTTATTTCTAACAAAAAGTCACCTAGAAATTGCTTTCTCTTCCCATATATATATATATATATATATATATATATATATATAGAGAGAGAGAGAGAGAGAGAGAGAGAGAGAGAGAGAGAGAGAATCATGCTGTTAAACTTATATGAATTTTCTTTCAGGAGTATGGTAGGAAAGCTCTCCAAAAGCATCACTCTTACTTTCCATTGCATCCAAAATTGCCTTTTCCTCCAAAATCTAATGTTTTATATTTTAGGTTCACCCAGTTCATCTCTCATGGTAATTGCCTTTTTCAAAGGAAGAATGTTATTCTATATTTACACCATATCATTATGTTACATTATTATTATTATTATTATTATTATTGTTGTTGTTGTTGTTGTTGTTGTTATTTTAGTAGTAGTATTAGTAGTAGTAGTAGTAGAAGAAGAAGATTTGGTTTTTTATCTTGCTTTCCTCCCCTAAAGGAGACTCAAAGCTGCTGGAGATGCAAAGCAATTATAGGCATCAATAGGAAAGCAAGATTAAATTCTTAAAGCAAGTACAAACACCATTTTACTGACCTGTAGGATTGATCTCCTCTCGCTTTGGGTGCATTAGACGGAAGGGCAATTCCATACTCACCTCACTTAGGAGAGAAGTAAATAAGAGCAGAATATGTTTGTTCTTTTATTTAATTGGTTTTTTTCAAAGCAAAACCCCCTTCAAAGGAGACCTAAACTAATTTCATTGAAAAATAACAAAATATTTTAAAAGCATAATAAAAACACCTAGTTCAATCCACATTTATATTGAACTTGACTGCCAGTATATTTAACTTGACCTACTATGGTGAACAGCTGTGAATCTATCAGTATGTGTAATTAATCTTAATTGGTACTCCACTATTACCAGAACTGCAATCCATTCTGCTATTCATAAATTATTAATGGAATCTTCTATGTTAGGAAGTTTGAAATGTTAAGAGTTTTTTTCCAGTTCTCTTGCATCCAAACTTATTCCTATGTATTGCCCCAGGATAGCCCAAAACCCTAAAGGCAACAGATCCCATCAGATCTTGGAAGCTAAGCAGGATCCACTCTGGCTAGTAGTAGGATGGGAAACTGCTACTGAATACCAGATACTGAGGCTATGTATCAGATGAAGGAACTGGCAAAACCACCTCTGACTGTTCCTTGCCTAAGAAATTCATGGGGTCAGCATAAATCAACAGACAACTTGAACACAGATATACAGACAAACACACATTACCCTAGAACTATTGCTATTGCTCCTACTATCACCTTCAGTGGTTTTCCTATTCCACAAAAAGGAACAAATGAAAGATGAGAGATAAAAGTCTAAGTTTGGAACATCTTTACATGATCTGCCTCACATTTTGAGAGCATATTAAAGTCTTCAGTACTAGAATCATAGAATCATATAGTTGGAAGATACCTCATGGGCCGTTCTCTGCAACCCTCTGCCAAAAAGCAGGAAAATTGCATTAAAAGCACCCCTGACAGATGGACATCCAGCCTATGTTTAAAAGGCTCAAAAGAAGGAACCTCCACCATACTCCTGGGAAGAGAGTTCCATTGCTGAACCGCTCTCACAGTTAGGAAGTTCTTCCTCGTGTTCAGGTGGAATCTCCTTTGGATCTTAACACTTTCAGTAGCAAAATCTTTTATCAGTTTTCTGAGTATTCAGTGAGGACAAAATTGGTTAGATCCATTTCAGAATAGCCTGAAAACATAAATGGGTCTTGCAGGAGAGAAGAAAATTTAAGTTAAAAAAATTACCTGGAGACGAAATCTCCTAGCAGCCTAAGATGTAAACAGAACAAAAATCAAAATTACAGTCTTCCATAGAATATTCTGAAGCTAGTCAGATTCACTAAATCATATCATCTTTACAACTAAACGCAGCCCAGAAAGGTGGATTGTTGGTCCTTGCTTTCAAGTTCTCTTTTTCCAGCAAGTGCAGTGCTTTGATTCTGCTTCACAAGAAGTAGTTACTTCAAGAAAGGGTAGGTATGCAAACATTCAGTTCCTAATTAGATGTTTTTACTTATTAAATGTAGAAGAATTATTTAGAACTAGCCATGCAATGTGACATTGCTTAAATAATATAAAAATACTGAATAATCACACATTTGTTTTTACATTTTGGTCTAACAAAACAAGGCAAGGCAAGAAAGAATTGCTCATAAAGCGAAGAGAAATAACCAAACAAACATTGCTCTTACCCCGAGACAGTCAGCTTCACCTTTATCTTGTAAGCAACCAGGATTCCCATAACAGTCTTATCTATTCCGTCTTTAATTCTGTTGTTGCAGAGAAATAAAAATGTATATAATATGATAGACAACTGCAGTGCTCACTCTCAAAGAGGAATGTGGAGTTTCCCATTACAGCTCCCCTGATTAACAATTCATAATCTAATATCTATATCTATCCCAGCTCATATTTTACTTGGGAGAAATTCCTTCTAAAGGTCCTAAGAAAAACCTCATCCCAGTGCAAGTTTAACTTAGTGTGCTAGACACCTCTACACTCAGAGTTTATCACTCAACACAAGAAAAGTAATTATTAACCCTTCATCTTCCCACTTCGATTAGTTATTTGATTCTCATCTATTTTGGACTTACACGGTACTGGAAGCCAAGTTGGTGTCTTCATCCTTTAGCTTCCCATCCAGCGCTATGCCTTTTTTGGTTCTATTGCTTGCCAGTCGGGGCAGAACTGTTATCGTCTTTGTCAGAATGCAGTTTGGCTCTACTTTTTCCCTGCAGTACATTGCATACAGAAATAGGGTAGGGAACAGGATGAAATTTTAGTCCCCTGAGCATGACAAAAAATAATAATACAGTTGGAAGAGACCATAAGAGCCATCCCTTCCAACCGCATTCTGCTATGAAGGAACACATAATCAAAGCACCTATAACAGGCGTCTGTCCAGCCTGTTTTAAAACCTCCAGAAAAGGGGATTTTCAGAGGCACATTCTGAGACAATCTGTTCCACTGTTAAACAGCACTTATCAGGAAGTTGTCATTATCATTACTATTAGGAAGTTGTTCCTAATATTTAGGTGGAATCTCTTTTCCTAACATCTTAATCCATTGCTCTGGGTCCAAGTCTCTGGAGCAGCAGTAAACAAGCTTGCTCCATCTTCAATATGACATCTTTTCAAATATTTGAATATGGCTAACATGTAACCTATTAACCTTTTCTTCTCTAGGCTAAACATACCCACCTTAACTGTGCCTCACAGTGCATGGTTTCTATTTTGGTCATCCTCCTCTGGACATGTTACAGCTTGTCAATATCTTTTCTGAATTGTGGTGCTCAGAACTGGACACAGTATTACAGGTGAGGTCCGACTAAAGGATAACAGAGCAGGACTATGATTTCTCTTGATCTAGACACTTTACATCTATTAAGATTCCTAGATCCCTTTCACATGCTCTGTTGTCAAATCAGGCATCAACTTCTTATGCCTGCACATTTCATTTTTTCTGCTCAAGTAAAGTAACCTGTTGAAATTCATTTAATTAGTTTTGGTCCAGCTATCTAATCTGTTAAAGTAATTTTAGATTCTGATTCTGTCCTCTGTGGTATTAGCTATCCTCCCCAATTTAGTGTCTTCTGTAAATTTGAAAAGCATGCTGTGACGATGTGTAAATTTTATTCCTTTGGTTATGTGTAGTTTGGACAATGGTTTAGGGATGGTAAGTATGGGAGGTTATGTTTTGTGGGAGTGGCTTGGCGTTAGCTGAGTTGCCATAGCAACAGGGGCGGAGCCAACCGCCTCTTCAGGAAGCATCTGTGTTTTAAAAATCCAGTCAGTGGCCGGAGAGCTACTGAGAAAACACTGAATCTTTTGGTGGAGATTCAGGGAATGTGTCTGTAGCCAGTGTGCTATAGGGAAAAACTGAATCTCTTAGAGATTCAGTGAATCAATTGGTGACCAAAGTGGTTGCAGAGAAGGACCCGGTACAGGGGTTGTTGATTCTGAATTAAGAATCAAGGTTTGGCTGGGTTTAAGCCTGTTGTGCCAGCTGTGAAACCTTATGAAGTGTTTGCCTGAGTTTACTCATGAAACCTTTCCAATGTAACCATCAAGATTTATGCCTCTTTTGAAGAACAGTTATACATTGTTATACTCCTGTTAAAATAAACTTGTTACTTTTTCCTCAAGCCTTGCCTGATACAGTTTCTTCTAAGTTGAACAGCCTGCAATAATAAAGTCAGCCAGAAACAGTCCCTTTATAAAATAGTTCCTAGGCTGATATTGATCGTTGCCCGGCTTCCCTCATAGATAAGGTGGCAGTGGGTGCTTTACCACGTGCACCTTCACAATTGGTGGTATTCGGTGGCATTAAAACGGTCATCGTCACAGTTGGTGGCAGCAGTTTAATAACGGACCTCCTTCACACATGCCTTCTATTCTATCATCTAAAACAGTGGTTCTCAACCTGTGGGTCCCCAGGTGTTTTGGCCTACAACTCCCAGAAATCCCAGCCAGTTTACCAGCTGTTAGGATTTCTGGGAGTTGAAAGCCAAAACATCTGGGGTCCCACAGATTGAGAACCACTGATCTAAATATATCGAATTGCACCGAGCACAGGACAGAACCCTCCACTAGTCACTTCTCTCCAGGTTGAAGAGGAGCCATCTTTGTGCACCCTTTGGGTTTGGTCAGTTAACCAATTACAAATCTATCTAGGGATCTCATCATAAAGGCCAAGTGAAGCGTCCCGCTTTGCCTGGCATCCAGGAGAAAAAAGAGGGGCAGTGGGACAAATCTGTCTCCTTTTGCACAGTTCCCTCTTGGCAGCACTTTCCCCATCACATCCCCTCCTGGCGAGGCACCGTGCTGGCTCCATTTCAGCCGGCACAACACAGAAAACCTCCCGTGTTGTGGGGAAGCATCCAGAGATGCTTTCACTCCGGTTGGGGGCAGGGGAAAGTCACACAACATCGTGTGATGTCTGGCATGGGGCTCCATCCATTAGACTGGGTGAAAGCATCCTAAGGCGCTAAATTCATCCTGTCTGATAAGATTATACTGTAGCATTGTCTAGTCCACATTTTACTAACTTTTTTGCAAGATTATCATGCAGGACTTTGTCAAAGGCCTTACTAAAATCAAGCTATGCTACATTCACAGCTTTCCCTTCATCTACTGAGCTTGTTGTTCTTTTAAAAATACAGGTAAGATTAGTCTGGCATCACTTGTATTTGAGAAACTCATCTTGATTTTTAGTGATCGTGGCATTCCTAGTATTGATGTCAAGCTGGTTGGGCAGTAATTGTTTGGGTCCTCTTTCAGAAAATGGGGATAACATTTGCCATCCTCCATTCTGGTGGGACTTCTGTCCTCCAGGAATGTTTCAAGGTTATTGTAATTGGCTCTTAGATTACATCTGCCAGTTCTTTTAATATCCTTGGATATAGGGCCTATGTACACGGGAACCTAAACCTGGGCTAGTCCAAAGCATTGCTGCTGCAGACTGGCCTTGGGTCTTGCCAAGGTGTTTTCATCTCTCTGTTCCCAAACCATGGCTACAGCAGAACCAGAACTCTCACTGTTCATTTCCGGAACCTAAAACAGGAGAAGAGGATCATCTTATTCTCTTCTTCACCCAGTCTTGCTAGTTGCCTAAGAATTTAAAGGGGTGGAACAAAAAATGGTACAGAGTAGGATAAAGCATAGTATACTCACTCTATTTCTTCAAGAGCCACTGACTTGGTGTAGAAGTCACTGCAATACAATACCACATTGGCAACTTGCTCCACTAGAAAGGATACAAGATAGATGACCATCAGGTAAATATCAAACAGGATAAATTTATGGAGTAACCTCCAGTTCACAGGAAAACATGAAGAAACACAATGAGGACCACTGGTATCTTAATTGCATTATTGGCATTTTTCCAGGCAAACAGAAGTATGTTGTGAAATTATTATTAGTCTTATGTCTGGTTCTGTTACTTCACTATGTGCCTCACATAGGACCAGGCTGTGGCGCAGCTAGTTAGTAACTGGCTGCATTAAATCATTACTGACTGAGAGGTTATGAGATTGAAGCCAGCTCGGGTTGGAGTGAGCTCCCAACCATTAATAGTCTAGCTTGCTGTTGACCTATGCAACCCGAAAGACAGCTGCATCTGTCAAGTAGGAAATTTAGGTACCGCTTTATGCAGGAAGCTAATTTAACTAATTTATGACACCATAAAACCTTCTAGCAGCGTGTGGATGAATGAGGAAGTACTCCATCAAAGGACTCGGTGTCACAAGAGGACGGTGAAGCGGCAGCTCCCCCTGTGTCCAGGAATCGAGCATACTCTCATGAAGCCGGAAAAACTGGAATGTTAAATTGTTGCATCCCAGTTCAGGAAACGAGACCATAAGATTAAATCCACCACACTGGACTGTGGGGAAAAACAATCCTCTTTACTGATGAAAAATGGTTACTAAAGAAAGGTAAATGCAAAGTCAAAATGCCATAGTAGAAACACAGCAGACAGGAAAACTCTGAACTTGAGCAAAATTCCAAAAGCCACAATACAGAAACCAGGAACCTGTTAGCATCACTAACTGTACTTGAAAACTAGACACCTCTTGGAATGCAGGCCATGAAACACAGGAAATCTGCCAAGGTACTGCCTCAGTCTAAACGTTGCTTGATCTAGCTAGACAGCTGGAAAGAGGCCCCTTAAGCTAAAGAAACTATTTCTTGAAATGCCCCCAGATCTTGAAGCCTCCCTGTCCCGTAATCTATTTGACCTTCGTAGAAACTGCGACTCACTCCTGTTTTTCCAAATCTGTTCTCTTCGGTGCTCATTAGCAAACCCAGGTGTGAGTCCCTCTGGAGAGCTATCACTGCTTGATTCCAAAACATTCTCATCAAGAAGTTCAGTTTCACTTTCCCCGCCACTGGCCTCATAATCAACAGTTTCAACACTATCAGGGAAAGATACATGTTCCAAGGCCTGTTCAGGAAATACAATTAAAGAACCAGGTTCAGGTTCTGGTTCGCATGGAGGCTGAACCCCGACATAAATTGCCTCTGTGTCTGTCTATAGATGTTGTATGTCTAAATGCCATTGAATGTTTACCATGTATATGTGCATTGTAATCTGTGCTGAGTCCCCTGCAGGGTGAGAAGGGCGGAATATAAATACTGTAAATAAATAAAATTAGGCAGAATCATGGACTCACTATAATTTGGCAGAATGCTGGTAGTATTTTTCTCATATTTGTGGCAGTTTCTATAAAGTTTGGGGTTGAATCTTTCTCACAATCACACTGAATTGTTCTAGATATATGACTCTCCATTATTGTACACTTCCAACCTGTGCTACTTCATCACTGCTATCTGAGAAACATCTTATAGACAAAATTAGCATCTTACCTGAAACACCAATCTTCTTAACCACTTTTTCTGTATTGTTGATCACAGTCAAGGTGACAGGGATGGCCTCACCATGGTAATACACCTGCAACAATTCGGCCACTTTAGCAGGAAGGTCACTGTATACAACAATTTTATTTTTATGCATTTTTGTGATCAGCTGTCCAGGCAAGAGCAAAAGCTTTTCCATATATTTTGAAAGACATTGGAGAAAAACTGCTATTTTGGACATTCCATCCATCATACGTTTGCTAGGAATCGTCTCAGATATATTGAAACCTGGCATGTTGGAATCAGAGACTGGAGAACACAAAATTGTGGGTCTGCTCCTAACAGTGGTCCATTGGGCTCTTAGTATCAGTTTTCTTGTGGAAGGAGATTTTGCTTTTGATTTTACAATATTTTTATTCTTGTCTTCCTTGTAAACATAACAAGGAGATAGGAAAGAGATAAGAAAAAATGCAACTAGAATTAGGGCAGAGATTTTTTTTTTGCAGATATGGCATAACATGCCTTTGCTCTTCTTGAGTGGGGCAAAAAAAAAAAAGCCCTCTCATGGATGTTACATCAATGATCTCCCAGAGAGTTTATGCGGAAGTTAAAAAAGTAAAACATATTTTTATTCCAAGGGTTTGGTCTCAAATGCAGCAATATCTCACCTCTTTGCTGAGACATGCTTTCAAATGCAGTGGTCTCTTTGACAAGAAAAACTGCCAGCTGGTCTCTGCTTGGGGTTGGGGTCCCGGCACTTCTGGGGCATACTGGATTTTGCGGATGAGCAAACGCACTGAATTCCTAAGGAATGGTATAAAAGAACTGCGTGTGAATACAAGAAACCAAACACAAAACATGAGTGGTGGGCAGCAATGATTTGAGAAATGTCTCCATAATTTCATATCATTTTACACAGTTGACTACTTTTTTTGTGAATATTTTGTGTCACTGAAGCACTTGTGCAGATGTGCAAATATTATTTATATGTTTCTGGCATTTGTAGCCCACTTTTTTCAGCCTTATGGAAACTCAAGGCAGCTTACAGAAATTTAATTGTTCATAATTTTAATTTAATTATTTAAATTAAATAATTGTTTAATTGTTTAATTGTTCATAACGAACAATTAAAACATCCAACCTAATATTATTAAAACCATTAAAAACGTATCACCAATGCCATCCTGTTAAAATAATTGTAAAATTACAACAAAATGAGATATAACAAGTCATTTTATTTATTTGCTTAAAAGATCTAAACTCCTTTTCTATTTATGTACAGGTGAAATAGGATGCTATAGAGATGGAAAAGATGCAGACAATTGTTATCGAAAAGGGGACCCCAAAAGATAAGGAATTGATGAATTGCTTGGTGAAATTCCCTTCTGCACCTTTTCACAAATTGCAAAACCAGGTGGAGCCTCCTCTCCAGGGTCTGGTCCCAAGTTGGCTAAGCACCACACATTTTCCCCTTTCTTGCACCATCACTATAAGTAGGAATCAGCCCCAGCTGGTTTGCCCTGACTTACAAAGGATCTCAAACCAATAGAAACCTAAAACCTTATTATTTGCCTCCTTAGGAACCCCCTGTGCTGGCAGGATTGCTGATCGAAAAGTTGGTAGTTCAAATCCCGGGAGCGAGATGATCTCCTATCTGTCAGCTCCAGCTCCTCATGTGGGGACATGAGAGAAGCATTCCGGAAGGATGGTAAAACATCAAATATCCAGGCATCCCCTGAGCAATGTCCTTGCAGACAGCTAATTTTCTCACCCCAGAAGCGACTTGCAGTTTCTCAAGTTGTTCCTGATACAAAGGGGGAAAAAACTGCCTCCTTGTCCCTTTTGTCACCTCTGTGAAGCCCATCTGGGCACCCAAGCACTCCTTGTTTTCAAAACACTCGACCCATCAAGGCATCCAGGAATCCTGTTATCCCAAACCCGGGAGCTGAATAAACCGATTTCTGTTCCTGCCTTTAATTCTTGGGTGTTTTATTGGACCTATTGGGAACTAAAGCCCACTAAGAGGATCCAGGATTTCGGACAACACAATGACTCAGGCCTCACAACCTCTGAGGATGCCTTCCATAGATGCAGGCGAAACATCAGGAGATAATGCTTCTGGAACATGGCCATACAGCCCGAAAAACTTACAACAACACAATGACTGCTGTTTGTGATTCAGTGTCCATCAAACACAATGTTACCTTTTGAGAACTGTCTCTTCTGGATCATCTGCAGCAAAAGCTTTGACCTCAAAATCTACTCCACAGGACTGCAGGGGAGAAAAATAAAAGATAAAGAGTGAGAAGTGCAGCCAGCCAGTCCCCAAGTTATGAACTAAATAGGTTCTGTAGGTTTGTTCTTAAGTTGAATTTGTTTGCAGGTCAGAACAGGTACATTCTGAAGTGTAACTCCAGCCAAAAAACTATATATATATATATATATATATATATATATATATATATATATAATACATACACACAGGCTTTGGAAAACATAGGGAAGGGTTAACACCCCGGTGGTGTTTGTTTTGTTGTCTGTGCCCTTGTTCAGAGATTTCACCTGACTCTATCCCTATAATAATTATATTTTGAAAAATATGGCTTGTTGTGGAAACGATTGGTGATAAAGCTTCAATGCCTGGACAGTTAAATCCTAATGTTTGTAGTTTGGTGAGGTGAGAACTGTAAATACCTCCCAATGCCACACCCCAGGATTCCATAGGATGTTGTTGTGGCAATTAAAGAGAAATCATAGCACTGTAATTTTGTATTGTGAAATGGTCTGGCATCCATATATTTTCCCCAAAAAAGCAGATGGTAATCTGGTGGCACATTGAGTTAAACCGCTGAGCTGCTGAACTTGCTGACTGAAAGGTTGGCAGTTCGAATCTGGAGAGCAGGGTGATCACCTACTGTTAGCCCCAGATTCTGCCAACATAGCAGTTCAAAAACATGCAAATGTGAGTAGATCAATAGGTACTGCTTCTGCAGGAAGGTAACAGCACTCCATGCAGTCATGCTGGCCACATGACCTTGGAGGTGTCTTTGTCTTAGAAATGGAGATGAGGACCACCCCCCAGAGTCGTACATGACTAGACTTAATGTCAGGGGAAACCTTTACCTTTACTTTAATCTTTGAATACTATTTTCTCAATAAAGATATTACATTGCATCTCTCCATTCTCACCTTCCCATTATCACGTGGACCTGGCTGCAAGCAGACTGAACAAGGCAAATAGTCTGGAAACTGTTAGGACAAATGAAATATAATATTAAAAATGGATCATTAAAATGATGGCAACATCTTCAGCAATAACTGCAAAAAATCAGAGAAGCTTGAGAATAATGCTTAACAGACAACCCCAAAAAATGGAATAGCAATACATTACTTACACTGACTTCTTTTCTAGAATGCTTCAGGACTTTTCTAGTTTTGTTTAAAGATATGATTATTATTTAGCTGTTTCAGCTTTTGCTCCAGCCCAGCGATATTAAACTCATGTTACAGCATAGTTTTACTGCATCAGGAAATTAACTTTTTGTTCCAGATGTGTGTGTGAGCACAGGCACAAGTGAAAACAATGGTGGCACCTCTATTTGCAAAAGAAATTAATCAACATTTTTTGGTGTTGTGTGCCTTCAAGTTATTTCCAACGTATGGTGACCCTAAGGCAAATCAAATAAAGGGGATTTCTTGGCAAGAAATCCCCTTAAGGGAGTTTGCCTTTGTTTTCCACTGTCGCAGAGAGAGGGTGATTTGAGGCCTTCCACACAGCCATATAACCCAGAATATCAAGTCAGATAATCCACAATATCTGCTTTGAACCGGGTTATCCGAGTCCACACTGCCATATAATCCAGTTCATAGTCTCCAGAGGCATAGACAGTGCTTAAACCACAATATCTGCTTTGAACTACACTGGCTCTCTTTATTTTCTTTATCTGTCGACTATCAATGGCACATAAGCAGCTACCAATGATAGCATAGAAGTAAAAATTTAAAATTCAGTAAAAAAACAAAACAAAAAATTACCATATATACTTGAGTATATATGGTATGCAGTCATGCTGGCCACACGACCTTGGAGGTGTCTATGGACAACGCCGGCTCTTCGGCTTAGAAATGGAGATGAGCACCACACCCCAGAGTCAGACATGACTGGACTTAATGTCAGAGGACAACCTTTACCTTTACTTGAGTATAAGCCAAGTTTTTCAGCCCTTTTTTAGCCTGAAACTGCCCCCCCTCGGCTTATACTTGAGTCAAGGTTATTTATTATTTCACTCTGTTGTTATTATTATTATTACATTTATTATTTTACTCTATTTATTATTATTACATTTACATTATTTTACTATATTTATTATTATTACATTTATTATTTTACTCTTTATTAATATTATTATTTATTATTTTACTCTGTTTTTATTATTTTACCCTATTATTTTTGCTATTATTACATTTATTATTTTACTCTATTTATTATTGTTGTTATTATTACATTTGTTATTTTACTCTAATTATTATTATTACATTTATTTTTACTCTATTATTGCTGTTACATTTATTATTTTTCTTTATAATTACTGCTATTACATTTCCATTATTTTACTTTATTATTTTTATTATATTTAGTATTTTGCTCTCTTTATTATTACTGGAAGGATGCATTGAAGAAGATTACAATAATGGTTTAATGAGAGTTGGATAATCTTATCTTAAATTACAGTTTTATGGAAATATTCAAAAACATTTAACCTGCTGATTCCTCAATTAATGTAATTTTATTGGTATCTATTTTTATTTTGAAATTTACCAGTAGCTGCCTTATTTCCCACCCTTGGTTTATACTCAAGTCAATACGTTTTCCCAGTAAAATTAAGTGCCTCGGCTTATGTTCAGGTCAGCTTATACTTGAGTATATATGGTAAGATATCAGTTAAAAGAGCAATAAATGACAGGGAAACATAAAACCAGTTCAAAAGTCCATCAGCAAGAAACCAGTTCTTGCTGACTAAATTATCTGAATGAAAACATTTTTATCTACTGGTAGAAGAACAACAAAGAGAAGATTAAATTGATTTTTCCTGCATCTAAACAGGGATAGAAATAATGCAGAACTCCAGAATTTACACTTTAATTTTCAGACTTCCTCACTACTGGCTATTGAAAGTTTAACAATATTTAGAGGGGGGTGTTTAATTCCCACCCAATGAACAAACCAAGGAAGCATTTAAAAAACTCTACTATTTATATTATTGTATTGAAAATAGTTTAAGGTGCTGTAACTTGAGTATTAAAAATGCACAAAATGGCAAAGTAATCAAACTTTCAAGTAATCAAATATCAAGCCAAGAACAAAACTAAAAGAAGGAGTAACGTAAAGGACTCACCGTTAACATGAAGGGATATGCATTCTTCCCCAATTTATTCAGTAGGCATTCCTGCAAGCTGGAGAGTGGCATGTGTTTTTCCAGGGATGGGTATACCTGCACCCTAGAAATATATAGGTCCCTTCGAAAAGTCAGGCCTATAATATCAATATCTTCATCTCCATACCGGAAAGCACAAGTGAGTGTGACATACACTGGGAAGAACATAAATAGTATTATTAAGAGTATCATAACCAACAATATAAATGTATCAACCGCTCATGTAGGAGGTTTGAAACTGAGTGACCATTTACAAACTGAGGTCATTCAATGTTAAAAGAACAAAAACGAAGGATTGCTGGTGGCCATCTCAGCCATTCTACCAGGTAGCCGCATCCAAACAAGAGAGCATTTTGTTGCCATCACAACCCTTTCAGTCCCCATTTGGCTATCCTTCCACACAGCTGTATAAAGTCCAAATTGAACCGGATTATATAGCAGTGTGGACTCAGATAACCTCGGTCAAAGCAGATATTGTGGATTATCTGTCTTGATATTCTGGGTTATATGCCTGTGTGGAAGGGCCCTGAGATTCTCTGCTTGGGATTTTCTCTCTCTCGAAGGGCCCAGCCATAAAACCCAGAATTTGTTGTTCATTCATTCAGTCGTCTCCATTTTTTCGTGACCTCATGGACTAGCCCACGCCAGAGCTCCCTGTCGGCCATCACCACCCCCAGCTCCTTCAAGGTCAGTCCAGTCACTTCAAGGATGCCATCCATCCATCTTGCCCTTGGTCGGCCCCTCTTCCTTTTACCTTCCACTTTCCCCAGCATAATATCCAGGCAAAACAACCCAGTATATTTGCTTTGAACTGGGTTATCTGAGTCCACACTACCATATATCCCAGTTCAAAGCAAATCTCTTTCAAGGTGTAGCTTTACTGCTATTGTTAGCGCAAACCCTATTATTTCTCTGAGCCAGCTGAAACTTTCTTATTATGCATTTCCCATTTTGATTACAGATGAAATGGCACTAGCAACCTGAACATCAAAAATGAAGAGATGACAAACAGAAGGGCCAATGTGTAGTAACTTCCAGGCCTTTTTATTTACATATTCAGCCAAACTTTAGTATGGATTCTGTAAACCTTTGTCCTGGTTATCTGCACCCCACTTCAGGAGAAAGGTGGGATATAAATAAAATAAATACTATAAACTGAGCATTTGAAGCATTTGTCATGAATCTGCTGCTATAGCATTTGGGACGAGATCTGATCCTATGGCACAGTACTTTCATTCCTTTGAGAGCATGATTTCTGAGTTGCAGGCATTTTTTGCTAAACAGTACGGATCTAAAGATATTTTATGTGTGTACACATATGCCTTCAAATAGCTTGCTGACTTATGGCAACTCCATGAAGGTCTTTCTCAAGCAAAGAATACTTAGAGATGGTTTGCCAGTTACTGAAATATGGTTTGCCAGTTGCTGAAATATAGTCTACATCACTTGATATTCATTGGTGGTCTCCCAACCAAACAGAGCTGAGCTGCCTACTTTCCAAGATCAGATAGAGTATTTATTGCAATACAATATAATTCACAAAGCAATAGAGAAAGCTGAAAGAATAAAGAAACAAAAGGTATGATAGAATATATATAAATACATAAGGCTAACACTACACTAATGGCAGCAATAAAATGATAGCACAGTCTTTTCAGTAGACCTCTTATTAGGTTTCGGTTCCAGGACCCCTTGTGAATACCAAAATCTATGGATTCTCAAGCCCCATAGTTTACAATGTGGTCATAAAATGGCATCTCTTAAAGTGGCAAAATAGTCAAATAAGTGCCAGACAGAGCATGAAGATCTATGAATGGCAGGAGGTTAGAGAAGAGTATAACAGCACAATTGTTGGCACCTGCAAAGATCAGGGGTTTTTTTTTTTTTTGGGGGGGGGATGGATTATTTTTTCCTTAATATTTTCAAATCTCAGTTAATTGAATCCATTGATGCAGAACCCATGGGTACCAAGGGCCAAATGTACTTAGAAATCACACTCAAAACAGCCATCTAACCATTTAGCCATCTAACCTTTTTTCTTCTTGACAATATCAGGATCCACCATCACCACACCATCTGAAGAAGAAAGTAAAAATAACCCGTGGGGGCACTGAATATCCAAAGCACTGCAAACAAGTGAAGACAGTTGGACTCACCCACAGGTTCCACATCTTCTACGTGGTCAATGAAATCTCGCTTCCCTAAGTAGAGCGTTACCTGTAAAGTGGAAGAAATGGTGGCTAGTTAAGGCCATGGCCATGTAACTCAAAGATAAGAGACAGTTGGTCCTTTTGCCTCTTGGTCACATACATCAAAAGGCAGAAAGTACAGTTTTAAGGTTAGCCTGTTTACTTTGTTCAAAACCTTGCAATCAAGTGAATTGGTAGCATTCTATGTGAAAACAAAAGTCAATTATTTGAATTTCTTGATGCATCAAGACACAGAAATGTAATGGAATTCAACAGATGCAAATGACGCCTGGGAGGGCTCCTATATTGTTGATGGTTTTGCAAGAGGAAATATTTTGAGAGCCAATTTTCATGCTGAGAAAAACTCCATTTTCTAATATCTCTTCTTTAAGATCATCTACATTTCCCCAAAGGGTTTTCATTTTGCACATCTGCTCTGCCTTTCATCACCAGTTTTGCAAGAATATTGATAAATTGCATTCATAGAATGCTTGGGGACATGTCTGCCTATTTGGGGTCATTTTTACCATGCAAAATGTTGTAGTTGGGAAGTGGCCAAATAACACCACTTTTCATTCAGACCTCCAAAGGTTCAAAGAACAGTGTGCTCTGCAACTGGTAGTAGGTGCCCACTTCTGCCCTAATGATAGTATATTACATTTCAAGTATACAAGAATACAGAATACGATGTATTTTCATGTCTGGTAAAACCGTAAGATCACATTTATAATAATAATAATAATAATAATAATAATAATAATAATAATAATAACAACAACAATAATTTATTTGTATTCCTCCCTATCTCCCCGAGGGGACTCAGGTTGGATTCCAGAATATATAGACACAAAAGCAAACATTCAATGCCTAGAAACAATGAAACAGATTCACAGATAAAGGTAAAGGCTTCCCCTTTCATCTTCAGCTCTGAGGGTGGTTCTTATCTCCATTTCTAAGCCAAAGAACCTGTGTTGTCCGTAGACACCTCATAGGTCATATGGCTGGCATGACTGCCAAATGGAACGCCATTTACCTTCCCACCAAGGTGGTACCTATTGATCTACTCACATTTACATGTTCTTAAACTGCTAGGTTGGCAGAAGCTGGGACTAACAGCAGGAGCTCTACCCGCCCTGCAGATTTGAACTGCCAGCCTTCCAGTCAGCAAGTTCAGCAGCTTAGTTGTTTAACCCATTGCATCACCACGGCCTTATTTAGTGGGTGTGCTGGATTAAACATAATACATTTAATTCTCCAAATATTTTAGATTACAGTACTCACTGTTCCTTACCAGTGGCTAGCTGAGTAGGCTGATGGGGATTGTAGATCAAAACAAGTGGTACTTCTACTACTTTTTGAATGATTTGATCATTGGCTACTTGAGCATTGGTGACCACTCAACTCTGGAAAACTATTCTCAGTCTCAGAAGAAGGCAAAATGAAACGCCCTCTGAACAAATCTTGCATGGAGAATCCTATGGCAGGGTCACCTTAGGACTACTGTAATTACTTGAAGATCCATAACATCATTTCTAAATGTTACAAAAATATAATCAGCATGACACACATAGCCTGGTTTTCAGAGAGGCAACACTTCCAGGTTTTTTTTCATTTGTTGTGGGCATGTACTTACAGCTTTGTCATGCGACACTTTCTTGTAGATTACGTGATTCCGAACAGGCTCCACATTCTTCACAGAAATGTCAGAAACAGACACCATCTTTGGAGTTTTGCAGAAGCTCACCTCTATAGGTATGTGGCTTTGTCAGGATGAAACTTGCCTACATCAAGAGAAGCTGATTAGATCAACATCGGAAAGGTAAAAGAAACGTGAAAATACTGATATTGAAAATCATAGCGATTTTGTGAAAAATATCGGATAGTAACTTATTGCTTCTCACCAAGTGACTACTGCCCTTTGCAATTCTAGTGAGACTTGATCATACCCTACAACTGTCTCAAAATTTCAGGGAAAGTCTCAATCCTCTCTTCTCCCATTGTGTTAAAGCTACTTTTAAAAGTGCCAAAGTGCACTCCATTAACTCCAAAAAAGAATTAGGAGGGGTCCCAGAATCTTGCTGTTCCCTCCATGCCAGGAGATGATTTTTTGTTGTTATTTTAAATACTAAAACTAACAATGAAATAATGGATTTTGTATAAATACTAGCATTAACAATAAAATATTAAACTAATTCTATTTTTTTCATGTCAAGAGTGACTTGAGAAATTGCACGTTACTTCTGGTGTGAGAAAATTGGCTGTCTGCAAGGATGTTGCCCACGAGACTCCCAGATGTTTTGATGTTTTACCATTCTTGTGGGAGGCTTCTCTCACGTCCCAGCATGAGGAGCTAAAGCTGACAGAAGGAGCTCATCTGTGCTGTCCCCGGATGCGAACCTCAGACCTACTGGTCTTCAGTCCTGCCGGCACAAGAGTTTAACCCATTGTACTACCAGGGGCTCCTACTAATTCTAATAATTAATCATAAGACATTTTATATGTGAACATCATCTCTGCAATGGAAGTATAGTTACCAATTTGAGAACTGGTTCTTGAACTACATGGTTGTATAGAAAATGGATTTTCAAGAAGTGTTACTTGTCACACAAGGAGGTAACTGGCAACATCATATAGTTCTCCACATTTACAGTTTTGATTTTTATGGATTTGATTAGTTACATATTTTATTAAAAAGTTATCCAGATCCTCTGATGTGATTCTATATTACCTTCTTCCAGTCATGTTGGAGGACCTAGAGATTTCTAGAAAACACTCCTTTAGGAATCTCTCCATGTAATTCTATAGTCAGCTTCCAGTGGAAGTTATTTATTTATTTATTTATTTACTTACAGTATTTATAGCCCACCATTCTCACCCCGAAGGGGACTCAAAGCAGCTTACAGAACACACATATGGCAAACATTCAATGCCGATTATACAATACAAATAACAAGGACAACACAAACAGAGGTAAAGGCAGAGTTTCAATATTATTTCTGATATCTTGGAGGCTGTGCTTGACTCCAGCCATGGAGAGGTGCAGTTGCTCCATCGTCCATGTCAAGGAGCTTCCTCCGATCTATGTCTTTTTTGGGGGTGCCTTTATTACCTCCCCACTAAAATCGGTACCTATTTTATCTACTTGCTAGGTCAGAGGTTCTCAACCTGTGGGTCCCCAGGTGTTTTGGCCTACAACTTTCAGAAATCCCAATCAGTTTACCAGCTGTTAGGATTTTTTGGAGTTAAAGGCCAAAACATCTGGGGACCCACAGGTTGAGAACTGCTGTGCCAGGTGAACAGGTGAGCTGGGACTAACGGCGGGTGCTCACTCTGCCGGGCTCAAACGGCTGACCTTCCAATTGCCATAATTTTTCTGCATTACAGCAGTTTAGCCTGCTGTGCTAAGCTCAGACCCTTGACTACAGAATTGTGCTGAAAGTCCTAAAAGTTTCTAATGAGGTGTTCTCTCAGGTAACAAAATAGCAATTTCTTTAGTTGTGTTTTTTTTCACCCAAGAATCTTATATCCTTAACCCAAGTGAAGTGGAGGGCGGACTATAAATAATGATGTCTTCCTGATATCAGTGGAATATGATGGGATACCATATGTGTGGTACTTTTCTTATGATTGATGTGTGCCAAAGAATTGTAGATTTTGTGGTCTAGTACCCTATACAGCATGCCTATTTAGATACCTACCGCCTGGTTGGCTTGCCAAAGATTACACTCAGTTTCAGAAATATCAATGCAAATGCACCTTTATTGACTATAACATATTAAATAAGTCAGCAGAGTTGCCACAATTTCAGAGAAAGCCATCAGAAGTGCTCTCAGGTTAATCTTTTTACTCCTCTGTGAATTTGGAATAACTGCTTTAATCAATTACTGTATATAAGCCAAGATTTTCAGCCCTTTTTTAGGATGAAAATGCCCCCCTCGGCTTATACGCAAGTCAAATATATTTATCATTTTACTCTTGTTACTATTATTATTATTATTACATTTATTATTTTACTCTATTTATTATTATTGTTGTTATTACATTTATATTATTTTATTCTATTATTTTTATTTTATTACATTTATTATTTTACTCTATTTGTTATTATTATTATTATTATTATTATTACTATCATTACATTTATTATTTTACTCTATTTATTATTACAATTTTAGGAGCCTCTGGTAGGACAGTGGGTTAAACCATTGAGCTGCTGAACTTGCTTACTGAAAGGTCGCAGGTTTTAATCCAGGGAGCGACGTGAGCTCCCACTGTTAGCCCCAGCTTCTGCCAACGTAGCAGTTTGAAAACATGCAAATGTGAGTAGATCAATAGGTACTGCTCCAGCAGGAAGGTAACAGCGCTCCATGCAGTCATGCCAGCCACGTGACCTTGGAGGTGTCTATGGACAACGCCGGTTCTTCGGCTTAGAAATGGAGATGAGCACCAACCCCCAGAGTCGAACACGACTGGATTTAATGTCAGGGGAAAACCTTACCTTTATCTATTATTACATTTATTATTTTACTCTATTTATTATTGTTATTATTACATTTCCATTATTTTACTCTATTATTATTATTATTTTATTACATTTTTTATTTTACTCTATTTATCATTATTGGAAGGATATGTAAGCACATTTACATTGAAGAAGGTTAGAATAATGTTTTAATCAGAGCTGGACAGTCTTATCTTAAATTACAGTTTTATGTAAATATTCAAAAACATTGGACCTACTGATGTCTCAATTAATGTAAATTTATTGGGGTCTATTTTTATTTTGAAATTTATCAGTAGCTGCTGCATTTCCCACCCTCGGCTTATACTTGAGTCAATACGTTTTCCCAGTTTTTGTGGTAAAATTAGATGCCTCAGCTTGTATTTGGGTCGGTTTATACTCGAGTATATAGGTATTTAAAATTAACATAAGATGAAGGCAAAATCAGCTATCTTTTCACACTTTCTCCATTTTCCAGACAATAAAATCTCCAGAGGATCATATCCAACCTTGGCTCTCTTTTCAGAAAGAGATCACTATTGTTGATTTATGATGTTACAATTATCAAGTTAAGTTTCAAATATCCAACAAAGACAAGCGGCATAAGTAGTCCTGGTAGGGAAAATATCAGCTATCCTGCAACAGATCCCCAGCAACAGGCCGTTTATAACCTTTTCAATTTCTCGGCTCACATAAAAATATCTTTCAAAATACAAATATATTCTGTGCTATGCCCCCCCCCCCCACACTTCTGGAGGAAAAATAGCATTGAATATACTCCCCTCCACAATAGTGTTTCTTAGTATTTAATGGGAGGTCGACAGCAGACCAAATTTCCCTATGCATGCACAAGAATGGCTGAATCTGTTCATTTTTCAATCACAGATAAACAAAACAGATTCACATTCCAGTTAATTCAAACTGGTTGAATTGAACCTGAGTCTCAATCCTGCTTTCTATACTCAACTAGAGTAGTCTCTTTGAATCTTTTTTAATGGTGAGTCAACATGCAAGTAGATATCTTAGTTTAAATAGCTCTACTGGCTCTAGCAATAGGATTTACACTGTCAGGCAATGAGATCAAGATCTCTTTCTCTGTTGAACATCCTACAGCTGGGTGTACGAGTGGCACAATGGGTTAAACCCTTATACCAGCAGGACTGTTGACTGAAAGGTCGGCGGTTCGAATCTGAGGAGCAGGGTGAGCTCCCATCTGTCAGCTCCAGCTTCTCATGTGGGAACATGAGAGAAGCCTCCCACAGGCAAGTGAAACATCCAGGCATCCCCTGGGCAACCTCTTTGCAGGCAGCCAATTCTCTCACACCAGAAGCGACTTGCAGTTTCTCAAATTGCTTATGACACAAAAAACCCTGCACCTAACCATACCCATGGGTTTGGGTAATGTGTGTTGGAGTGCTTCTAAGTAGTTTAAGCAATATATAGTGTCTGTTGCAGAAGAAATGACATATTATTCATCCTGAATTTTATTTATGTGCCAAAAGATTTAAAACATAACAAAAATCCAATGAAACAAAGCTGACAAATTAAATTTCAATTAAATTCAATTAATAAAAATATTTTGTAAGACTAGAAAATCAGATTAGCATATCAGTTTTATTAATTACTCTAAAACTTTTTAAAAATTAGTAACATGTATTTCTCAACATTATTCTTACTTTTTTATTTATTAAAAGTCTGGTTAGATAAAATGAAATTACCAAAAATCTATTTGAAATTGCCTGGGTTGTTTCTCTCTTTCTTAAATAATATAATAATCCATGGCAAAAAGTAAAAATTCTGTTCCTTTGTTCCAATCTGGGACATGCCCTTCAAGAATGAGCAATCAGTAAATCTGCAAAACATTTTTCCAGTTATGAAGATGTATATTTCCTTCTCACAAAGTAGAAACAATATTATCAAGCTCATCACAAGATATTTTATAGTGCAACCAATGTGTATTTACTCTGAAGCATAGTTCACTGAGTGCAGTGGACTTTTAGTGGGTCTATTTTTTAAAAATGGCAGGATCCAAGAACTCAGGATGGGAAATTTAAAAAGCAAGAAAACAGCTTACTTACAGCCTCATCACACTAGAGAAAAAATCCACTCAAAATACAGTTTCTGTCTCCTGCAGAATTCTGGGATTTGTAGTTTAAGGAGAATCCTTTAACAGCCTCACTAAACTACAAACCCCAGAATTCTGCAGGAGGCAGAAACTGAATTTTAAGTGTTTTTTTTTCCCCCTCTGGTGTGATGAATTAGTTAGAAATGCTGTCTCTAAGTGGCCAAATCTGCAGTAAGAATAAATACCTGACAGTGCTCCCAATGGCCCAACAGTAGAAGTGCAGAGAAAGCTCCAGGAACAATAAAATAAAATCCAATTTAACCCAATGTAGAAAGCTGTGTAATCCAGGCAAAGGATCTGCTTGGTTTTCCTTTCTGGAAAGAGAAGCAACAGGCCCTTTAGAGACCAAGAAGACAATTTGTAGTGGATCTAAGGAGGAGATCTTGGTACTTATAGTGGCCAAGTTTCCAGCAAAGAATCCAGAGCCAGAATATTATCGCTGGATTATCGGATTTGAAACTGGTTAGATCAGCAGTGATGGGTATTATCTAAGGGACCCTAGTTCTACAATGTCAAGCTTCCCGATTTCAGAAAGCACAGACAACAAATAGAAGATTTGGCAAGGAGGTTATCAAAAGCAGCTTTGTTTTAAACCGCTTTCTCCCTCTCATCAGGGATGAAAATCACTCTAGTCAACTAACAAGCTAAAGATAAATCACTGTTTGTATGTCATGATTTTGTAATAGTTAGAGCATCTCTTCCTAAAGTTAGCTCATTTAACAGAACAGCTCCTGCATCACTGACAACAACAAAAACCTGCAGTTACAAGACTTTATCATGACCTAAAATGTTCATTCATGAAATGTCTATGGTGTATGAGTGACAACTTCAAAGCTCAGAGGGAACAATCCTATGAACGCTCTCCTGGAATGAGGTTGCTGATAATGCAGAGGTTTAAGTTCAAAGTAAACATACATAGCTAACTTATGCCACATTATATTGGATTTGAGAAGCTGAAGAGCAACCATGTGCCTTGAATAAGCTTTCGAGGAAGTTTTAAATAGAGGATTTATCCAACTTAAATATAAAAATAAAATAAAAGCCCAGATCCAATGGTTAATCCCAACCAGATCCATTGAATAAGTCCACACTCATATAAATCCCATTGATTTAACAGGTCTGTTTAACGGGACCATACAAGGAAAACACACAGTTCACTGTCTTGAGATATTAAATAGAAAATTAAAAAAAACAGAAGCAATCTAGTGACAATTGCTAAAACAAAGGGAAAACTTAATACCTCGGTGTATGTCTTAATCTTCAATGGCTGAAGTAGTATTTCCTATTGGAATCCATTTGAAGAAACCACCATCTTTATTAGGAAGTCCAAGTATTATATAAGGCTGACATTTTCATAGAAAGTAGGTGTTGCTATCCATGTTGAAACTATTCGTTCCATTTGATATGGGACAACTCCCAATTAGTACCAATGATGAAATTTTCAAAGGAATGTGATGCATTCTTCCCAAACTTATTGCTAAGTTTCTTAATAGTGTTTATAACACAGTCATAATGAAGCTGAAATATCAGTCATCCAATCGCAAAGCTGTTAAGTTCAATGATGTCAATTGTATAGATTGTTTAATTGCTTTTAAAAGTAACTTTTATGTTGTATTTTTGAAAAAATGGTTCTAGTCTTAATATTTTGTAAGATATCTTGAGTTGCAATACTGGGGAAAGGCTTGGGTATAGATGAATAAAACCATTTAAAAACCCCAGTAACAATCACACTCATTACCTTCTTCCTGTTTTGACTGTTTCCAAAATTAGAACCACAACTCCATTGCAAGTTGGATTTTTCTGATAATCTTCCATCAGATGTTTCATTGAAAGAACACATGTTTTCTTTTTGTAATTATAGGTAAAGGTTTCCCCTTGACATTAAGTCTAGTCGTGTCTGACTCTGGGGGGTGGTGCTCATGTCCATTTCTAAGCCGAAGAGCTAGCGTTGTCCACCTCCAAGGTCATGTGGCCAGCATGACTTCATGAAGCGCCGTTGCCTTCCTGCAGAAGTGGTATCTATATATCTATTCACATTTGCACGTTTTTGAAGTGCTAGGTTGGCAGAAACTGGGGCTAACAGCAGAAGCTCATATATTATACTAATTTTGTCTGTGTTATACAATGCCTCTAACTGTTCTCCTCAATTGGAAACTAGATGTAATCTTTAAGTTATCTTTCATCCCATTGATTTTGCACCAGGCTGTCTTGAACCTTTCTTCCATCCATACAGTTCAGCAACGCGTGGGTCAGTATGATACCTTTTGCTAAGATATATCTAAGTGTCAACATTTTTTTCAATACATCAGGTAGGCATCAAGTTGTCAAAACAATCAAGATTCCGTAGACAAATTAAGGGAACATAGTGAGCATCTCAGAGAATGAATGCCAATCCGTGGGGGATTTCTGTAGAGTCTTGTAAAGTAACATCAAAGATATTGAGAGGCTCTTCTTACATGAAGTCAATTACTATGCCTCCTTTAGTCTTTTACAAAGCCTCTGGCACTGAAGCTCTTTTTCACAAAGGTGAATCTCAGCTTTCTTTTCCTCCTCTTTCTCCTCCTCCCATCTAGTTAGATATTTTTAGAAGCATTGACACTGGGAGGATGGCAGAGGGCTGGTGAGTTTGCAACTGCATGTTTGCAGTTTTTTTTTAAAAAAACCCAACAAAAACTTGAACAGGGAGAGTGGGATTGTATTCTAGCCAGTTTACTGAAGCACTGCCTGCTTGCCTACAACAAGTGGTAAATGGCAGTTGCCTCTGAGCATGTGTGAACAGCAAAAGAGAAAGGGACACAGAAAGTAAATGTGCCTTGCCAGCTAACACCAGCAGGTTCAAAGAAAGCATACATCTCTTTATGTTTGGTCACCAAAACTCATAAGATGACACCAGTAGAATTAAAAATAAAGAAAAGGTATTCAAAAGGTTCAAAATATTTGTGTTTACTTATGGAAAACGTACACACATGACCTGTAATTTCATAGACACAAACTTTTTAAGAAAAGTTTGCTGAATCATGTTAAACTACTCTTCTGTTTTGTGGTGTGGGAACCTAGCTCTATTTTTTCAATGTCATTTTGCCTCTAGTACCAATTGTCTGTTAAATGGATGTGTGTGTGTGTATGTGTAAGAGAGAGAGAAGCAGCAGGGAGAAATTGTCCTTCTACGTAGCCCTAATATTCGGTTGCTACTTTATTTGAATTGTTCAGTTTAAGCCAATGGAGCATTAGAAAAACATAAATTGAGGGGACTAAATGTCAGAATATTTTAAGCTGCATTGAGCCTACAGGACAGAGAAAGAAAATGTGTGTGTACAATATGTACACTGAAAATAACTTAAGCCTCTATAAGCTGTAACCTGTAGCCCCCCCCCCCCCTCGGAAGTGTATATGAGTAAGTTGACCTTCTGTTGTCCTCACAAGTAGATTCTCTGGGACAATGCTGAGCAAGACTTTTGTGATCAGAAGGAAAGAACTGGAAGCACTAATTCTGTTGCCCTCATGGCCTTATAGCTCACAAGTAAAAGAAAAAAATACAGATAAAAAAATTGGTTCATATCCAGTTTTTCTCCCAAAGGGCCTTCTATTTGCTTCTGTATTCCTTACCATCTCATCATATAATGTGTAAGCCACAATCAGTGCCTTTACTACTCTGTTCTGACACTACCTCTCTATCTGTCCATACCCAATGTCAATAAAAAAAGAAAAAGAAAATGTCTAATTTTGAAGCAGGACACAGGTTTATTTATAGTCAGTCAAGTAACAGTGGGCGGATTAATACAATAAATAAGATTTGTTCCATGTACTTCCTATTCTCCTTAGCAGAAGTTGTTAAAATGAAGAGGCTCTTCGCTAAGAACCCAGGTACAAATAATCCCTGCTCACCTCTCCCCTTCAATACAAACTTCCCTACAAAACAAGCTTAGGAAGGAACGAAAATTAAAGTGCAAATTAAAAGGCAATTAAATGCTGGTGGCTTGTCACACAGCCCACTGGATCTTGGAAAAAGTGTTCTGCGGAATGATCTGTGCCACAAATTAATCTTCCCCAAATCATGTTGCGCATTTAAATACCCAGAGAAACAAGCCGGCAAGCCTGCTCCATAGCAAAGGCAGAGTGCCAACCAGGAAGGATATTGCACATTTAATCAGTGGCAAGTGATCTGGATTTGCCGGCATGAGGACACTTACATTCAGGTCTCGGTTTCCCCTTGCTCCTCTGTGCTTGAGAAGCTGCAGTACGGAAGGACGGCTGGGCAGCAGTAGTAACCGTGTATTTGGTTTTGGTGCTGAAGTCTTGCTACTCATACATTCTTCATCACAGCAACAGCACATCTCACTCTATCCCACAATTAAAGCCCCAAACAAACTGGGTCAAATTAAAATGCTTGTATATCACTTTCTGTCCAAACTTGGTAAGAAAAGCTTTGGAAAATGCAACGCACCAAAAGGTCCCCCTACTAGACCTCAACCTGATAGAAGAAACTGTGACTTAATAAGCGCTAGTGGCTCCATCAACATAACTGCCAAATTCATGAGCTTGTTCCTTTACTATGTTTCGGGATCCTTCAACCCCACATCATTGCTAGACCACAGAAGATAGTACATGCATAAAACTGAGGACATACAGGAATTCAAAAGCTTGAAGTGCCTTAGGAAATGGTTTGGCACTGCCTTCTGGTGAGGGAACTCATCCGAGCACATAGATGGCACTTGTAAAAACAATTGGTTCTCCACCAAATACAGTCAATCCTCGGCACGGCTGAATGCCAGCGATGTACTTTAGATGGGACGGGCTTTCCTTCTTCGGCCGGCGCACCAGGCATCCTTCCTGGGATCGAGTTTACGCACTTAGCAAAAGACCGTGGCTGGAAACAGATGTGGCATTTCTGTCCTGCCCAGACACAGGCCACTGTGCTCCTGTGTGGATTTTTGGCATGCCAGTTTTTGCACTTTCAGGTCAAAATTCAGACCATAGCACAGCTTTGTTTCCTTTGTCCACGCTAACCACATGGGCTCCAGATGGTGACCACGCCACAGCATTGATTGAGTTACTGAAACACAGCATGAAAGCAATTTATGACAGTCTACAAAAAACACTCAGGCTGAGTAAAAGACAGAAACACTATTTAGTCTCAAGCTATTTTATAAGACTGTGTCCTTATTTACCTGTTCCACACAAATTTACTTGAGCCAGTAAGTTTCCAGTCCAAATTCAAAGTGCAGGTTAACACCTACAAAGCCCTAAATAGATCAGGCCCTGCTTATCTTCGTGACCACATCCCCCCCCCAAGAACTGGCGAGGACCCTAAGATCTGCCAGGGCAGCTCTCCTCGCAGTCCCGCCACCGTCACAAGTGTGGTTGGTGGGGACGACAGAGAGAGCCTTCTCAGATGTGGCCTCCCAGTTTTGGAACGCCCTTCCCTGGGAGACTAGGGGCAGACTCCCACACTGTCCTCCTTCTGGAGGGAATTGAA